CCCCCCCCGAATGTACTGCAATGCCAACTTGACCCAGTTTTTACCTTATCCATGGAATAGATAGGTGATGATAATGTTAATGCTGATAATGATGATTATCATTATGGCAGTGACCACAGAGACGAGGGGATGAAGTAGGGTGTGGCTATAGCCCCCCCCCCACTTTTTTTTTCTTATCCCATGCTACTCCCTTATATTTTCCAATCTTAGCCTGTTTTTAAGGTTTTTCTGCAGTCCTTGTGTGGTGATGACATCGATGTTGATGTTGTTGTCTGATGCTCTGCCAAGTATCTTTTCAGTATGTCAATCTCATTCTGTTTTTGTGTAGAATGCCGAGAAATACCAGAATCCCTTTACTGTTCCTGTGGGCATGTTATTCTACAGGTAAATCATATTGTTTGATATAGGAAACCTTCGAAACCCCAAATGCAAATAAGAAACCCCTTAAATGCCAGTCTTTTACGTGCCCTCCCCCCCTAAATCCCACCAACCCCTCCCCCCATGGCTGTAAAAAATGAATCGGCTCTATATCACTATATCTATTGATCCTTTGGAGATTTGATGCAATTTTGAACATTATAATCCGGGGGGCCTCAGATTTTTAATATCTCGAATGTGGCCGATTTTCAAATAATTTACAGCCCTGATATACCTTTTATAAGTTACTTTCTTGAGTTTCATAACATATCCTATTTAGAATAACAGTTGAGTTGTCTGTTACAGAGTCGCTAAGAACATGATGAAGCAAGACTCACTAGATGCAGGGTACGTGAGTACGAAAATCATTGGATGACTGAAAAATTGGTTTTCAACATGCCCAAATTTTATTATTAGTTTCATGCTTTTAGTTACATGCGCAAAACAAGGGAATTACCTTAACTATAAGCTACGGACACACGGTGCAACATTGTGCGCAGTGTTGCAGGCAATCGATGTTGCGAGATATGAGTGGCGTACGCTGCTAACGCGTCGTCTTTCACTACTGTGGTTCCAAAGGTTGGCCGCCGAACGCGGTTGGGATCTTTTGTGTTCTGAGCAGACTTTATTTACTAATAAGGCCTTTGTGGCCTTGCTTCTATTCAATTGTCCCTAGTCCCAACCGCGTTTGGCGGCCATTTATGAGAAAGGTGTATTATAGCAGCACTAGAACGACTAGACACTAAAATGCAGAATATGCATTGAATCTTACCCTTTTATTCGTTTGTTTTTGTTAACAGAGATCAGTCTATTGTCAAGCTTCTCCTAGATAGCTGTATGGGGCTGCTAGATGATCAGCAATTCCCAGAGGTAACTATTGGGCTGCCTGTGGTAAATATGGCCCAATATTATTCAAGAAGCTGGGTATAAGTCAGCTAATAAGTGTCACATTCCAATACGATTTTTTTCTTCAATAAAGTAGACAAGCTAATTCAGTATGAATACTGGCCCCTGTCCACTTTTACCTTCACGTGTCATTCCCTTGTCATTCCCTTGAGAATAAAGGTTCTGACACACGGTGCAACGTTGCATGCAACAGATCTGAAGTTGAATCGCGCTCTACTCTTGCAACATTGCGCGCAAGAATTTCATCATGTGAACATGGCTTCAACATTACATACAACGTTTTGAAATTTCCAGCCAATCAGCTTGCAGCAAATTTAAAACTACTGACCAAACATCTTAACATAGCAGACTGACACAAGCGATATTGCGTGATTTCGTTGCAATGTGTGTCACCCCGATTCAAATTTGTTGCTTGCAATGTTGTGTGCAATGCTGCACCGTGTGTCAGCACCATAAGATTCTTCGTTTGAGTTGTATCCATATTCATATCTTTTCATGCGCAACCGTTAAACAAAGAAACGATATTCCAGGGAATGACACGTCGTCTGTAATTGGAAAACATTCACTAATACACACTACCATTTCATTCACTAGAGCAGTTTTCGTATGAGGGATAAAAATATGGTACCGTCTTTAAACCAAGTACATGGTACGACATCAAACCCGCGACTTAACCTTTAGTACTCACAGTGGTAGAAGTTGAACGTTTTACCATTACGCCAACCTTGCTACCCATCATAACATGTTATCGGTTTTTATCTTCAGATCATGACATCAGCGAATATTCTTTTATCAAGCTTGTTTAGTCCCGATAATATACACACCATGTCATCGTTGGATAAGACAAGCGATTCAAAGCACGCTTCGCAGGAAGATCTTTCACCAGAGCGACATGAGATACAGACCGCACCTGTAGATGTTATGGCTCATAGAGGGGTATGATAACAAGAGTATTGGTATAATATGTGGTATAATACCATGCAATGTCAATGACTACCACTACCACTGCTGCTTCTGCTACCACTACCACCACCGCCACCGCCACCACCACCACCACTACCGCTACCACCATCACTACCACTACCACTACCACTACCACCATCACCACCACCACCACCACTACCGCTACCACCATCACTACCGCTACCACTACCACTACCACTACCACTACCGCTACCACCATCACTACCGCTACCACTACCACTACCACTACCACCATCACTACCACCACCACTACCGCTACTGAAAACAAGCTATGCAAGTACAACGGACACTACCATACCTACCTGTCCCTTTCATAATGCAACTGATTGAAGGTGTCTCTTTTTGTTTGTTTCAGTCACTTGAGGTGGGTGAGCTTTCAACCCCAGGGATGTACCAAGATGACATCAGACAGGTATTAACACTCGTTAATAGACCTAATTCGTGGCGATGCAGTGTTTTCTATTACAGACTACGTGTTATTCTCTAGAGTATCATTTCTTTGTGTCTTTGAGAAGACACATGTTGGAACGAAAACGATACGAGTGATTTGGCTTCCTTTTATTTTAAACGACAACACGCTTCTTGCACGATAAGCGACCAATTCCTTCTCACCCTCGCTCCAGGCCCTAACTACTTATTCTACACAGGGTCCCCGGACCTGGCCTAATCTAATACGTACAAACAACACATGAATATGTACAATTCAAACAATCTTTTTATCAAGGGAATGACACGTGGCCTAAAATAGGTAATCATTGCACAACAGCGAATAAGGTCTCATACAGTATTTGATTAGGACTCATTAGAGCGCCCTTCATTCTTCTGCGACCACGTGGGCACGTAGTTTTGTATCTTGGCTATCATCCATCTAAAACCTCGACGATATGAGTCAACGACCAACGACCGAAGCCATAACTCAGAAGTCTGGAGATTACAGGAATATGGAATGACTCTACTGATCTTGTCTGTCATTATTCCTTTAGATTGCCAAGACCATCACCAATAATGTGGAAATAAGGTGTAAAAGGGCGCTCACGTATATTGTAGAGGTAAGATGTAGGAAAAACTCTACATAACTATGATAGGACGTGCGCTTTGAAGTTTAGTCGTTTAGTTTGTTCCCTGATGATGAATCTAAGATCCGAAAGCTCGGAAAATAATAAATATATTTATAAAATAACTGTTATAAATCTTGAATTCTGATTGGTTGGGAGCGCGTGCTTTATAAGAACACACAGCACGCAGCGCCCTTTGCATTTTATAAAAGAAATAAAAAACTTGCTTGCTGTGTGGAGTTATAAAGCACTTGGGGATTGGCAGAACACTTACCCCGCGTGCTTTATAACTGCACACGGTACGCGCGCGCGTTTTATGACTGCACACAGCACGCGCGCGCGTTTTTTATTTCTTCAGTAGAAGAAACAACGACTGAATATTTATTATTATTTAATTATTGGATATTGTTATTCATAACTAGGGACTTCGTTGTCTGAAGCTTGGTCTGGCCACGGACGAAGAAGCAGTTGAAATGGATAGCACAACCAGCAAGGACGATCGTAGTCATGGTAATAATCTACCACAGGGCTCCCATGGCCGACCAGGACCCCAGTCTTTCTCAGTTCGTCGGCTGACTGCTCTAGAACCCGGTTCCTCACGTCCATCGTCGTCACGTAGTTCGGACGAGTGTAATCAAAACCCGTTACTTCTCGTCAAACCGGTTCACTGGAGGGCGCAATCCAAAGGTCTTTTAATAAGAAAGGCAACGTCTGTTTACCACTCAATGGCCTGCTTAGCCAACACGAAGGGGAAATTCGGACGAGCATTAAGATTTTGCAAGCTTTCTCTTGAGTGCCTCGAAGCTTACAAGCCATGTGGGACCAACAAAAGTGAAGAAGACAACGAGTTGATGCGGTCAATACTTTGCGCATGTGCAGACTCCTATTTGATGCTGGCGAAAAGTGGGGAGAATTTAGAGGTTCATCATGATGAATTCCTGCAAAGGTCGCGCGATGATAAAGCTATTTCTGCCGCGACGAAGGAGTTCGTTTGTGATGAAACAGGGATTTTTAAAGTGGAATTTAAATCTGTGGTTGAAGACAACCTCATTACCAGGTATTGTGGTTTGTATTCACTACCTCTCACCTCTGAAGTCTCGGGTTCGACTCTTTGACTCGGCATCACGTAGAGTTTGTTATGTCTCTCCCACGGTTCGAGACTTTTTCTCCCTCCCCAAAACCTAAATTCCAATTCGATCTGTGAGATATCCGTGCTTTTGATCAGCCCAGAGGTTGTTTTTAGGGTTTGATCTGTGAGTTAGCCATGCCCTGACTTAGATCAGTCCAGAGGTTGTTTTAGGGTTTGATCTGTGAGTTAGCCATGCCCTGACTTAGATCAG